GAAAAATATGAGAATATTCCCTAATATTTTGGCATTTTCAATATCTTTCTGAGGTATCATTATTTTTATGTCAATATATTACCCCTGACCGTCATTATCGCTGTGAACGGCCCATAGACAGTGTTACCGGTAATATTGGGGATTTAGTGAAAAACTTTGTGAGAAAAAGAACTGAAATGACAGTCAAAATGCGTTTAGCATAGGATTTTGAAGCAACGTCTTCAACCGAAAAAAGAATTTTTAAAAAAATTATAATCCAAACTATTTATTTATTTATTTGTTTATGTATTTGTTTGTGTACTTATTTATCTACTTATTTATTTGATTATTAATTTTTTGCCCCTTCGGCTCGTTTTGGACAAGTGTACATGGTAAATGATGAGTGCCCGTTGCATATCATCACCTGTGAAATATAAATATCGCGGTGTGTTCCTGAGGTGCCCTTCGGCGCTGCCCGCTATCGGAGCGGAAAATGGGAGAACATAAGGGAAGGGTCCATAGCGGAGGGCGGGGGGACAGAAGGTGGGGATAATAAGTGCTCGATGGCTTTCTGAGCAAGAGCGCCAGGTGGGCGCGAGCTGGAGGGAGAGCGCCGACGCAGCTCAACAAATCTTTTTCAGCTCCTAATTCTATCTTCGTGCTCAAAAATGTGATAGGTACTCATCTTGAAGGAAAATAGGTCGGTCAGGAGAAGGAAACGGTGGTGAGTAAGATAATGTGCGAAGAAGATTCGGAAATGATGTTTTCCTTGATATAATCCCTTCTTCCCATATTCGCAATCAAAATACGTCTATACTTCTATTGAGAAACAGGCCACAAAATATTATGAATGATGAAGATGAACTCTTATAAAAGGTTGGAAATGAATCGTAATTGTAGAATTTGTGGCAGCAAGATAACAAGAGACTTCATTCGTATGAAACAATTATTTATTGAAAAATTATCGATTAAAGGAGAAGACTTTCGTACTAAGATGGTACTACAATAAGCTATTACGAAGATGATTTCTCATGCATTCGGTGATTTTTAATGCACTTTCTTATGCCGGTTTGAAAATTAAGTGGAGTAATTTTGAATTCATTACTCAAGATCTGAGAGCTCTTTCATGTGCCCAGATTGCAACGCATACTATAACACATTTTTGAGTGTCTTTACATAAATCTCTCATTGTAGAATTAAATAACTTCATGACATTATTTGTAAGCCGCGGATAAATTCTGGAGAAACATATATCCAGTTTTTATGAGCAGCATATAACATCGCTTTACTCTTTACTTTTTAAGTCGCATACTCTCACAAAATATCACTGCATCGACTAATTTTTAATGGAACTTTGCAATCTATACGTATCTGCACTTAGTACTAATACATTATTTATGTTTTGAAGCCAATTTAAATTCCTTGGTGTGTTTTGTTTTAGGAGAAATCACTCCGCTTGCAACGTTGCCTATGAAGAATCCCTGAGTTACTGGTGAGTCGTTTCTTGATTAAACTAAAACTACTTAAGACTTCGTCATTCGCATCTTTTCTCTCGTTTCGTCTACGATATTGTTGTTTGATCTTATATTTTGTATTAAATTAGATTGGAAATAATATCTCCATTTGCTAGCATGAAAAGCAATTTTATACGTTTTGTATTTCATATCGACGTGGGGATTCATTCGCGTTGATCAATGAAACATGTTGAATATTTATTTTTCGATAGTAATATAAGTTAATGCTGTAGAAACATATACTAATGAAATTAACGAGAAAAAATATGAGTAAACAAAATGAACCACCACGGAATTTAACCAAATTGAAGTATTTAAAAAATAATTTAAAACTCAAGTACATTATCGTTTGTCATTTTAATTTTTGTTTACTTATTCATGTAAAACGCGTCTTATATTTCTTCTACAAATATGCCTGAATATAGAGGCTTTTTTATCTAGGTAAATGCCTCATTTTGCTATTAAAAATCTCTTTTATTTCAAGCCTTTACAGATATAAAATCCACTCATAACGTCTTCCAAAGACCTTAAATTGGTCTCAGCCTGTATGACATGCTGGTGTTTAATCCAGCGAAAACCAAGAGCTAATTGACCCAATTTGTTGAGTAAACTATTTTCCTTTCCAATTTTACTACCAGCACCAGCAATATTAATAGATACAAATTTGTTTTAATTAATTTACTTCTGCCTAAGTGAATTTACAACTGCGTTATGCATATACACCTCTTTTTTTGTTACTTTTGATGTGAATTAATCAGTTTTTTATAAGATATCCAGCACAATAACGAATAAAAGTTGCTAACCGAATTGATTCAGTAGTTACATCAAGACAGAGAGACACACCTAGAAGAATTGATACCCATTTTTGATGATAAATTGCATTTTTAACCATGTCCAGAGTTGTCTTTTACCGTGTTACTAACCAAATGCAAATTTATCATTCTCTGAATAATATTTTCCTTGTTTTGAAAGTCTTAAAAGTGAATAGGACACCTTTGAACCACGATTCGTTCACACATTCCCCATCACTAAGAGATTTTCCGCGTTGAACAATTGCATTGGAGATCTAGAAGCAATTAAATTTGAAGGACTACTAGTAAATTTTATTGAGAATGCCGACTGGATATTCTTGTTTTTAATTGCCTCGTCAAAATAACCTATTGTTTCACCTTGCATTTCTCAAGGAATAACGTATGATTTTTTTCGAAATTCCGTTTTACTTAGGATATCCTGCATTCAACTGTCCCGTTGCATGAAATTCACACACCTTTAGTTCCTCTATTAATCTAATAATCCCATACTCTTTGAGTCTACCCAGTTTCGAATTCTCAGTGCTTGTTTTTATTAATAGCTTTTTTTTATTTTCTAGCCATGTTGAGCAAAACTATAATATATTTACGAAAACTGAAAAAACATTCTTTAATTATTACAAAAATCCTCACTTTACTTTCTTTTTATTTTCTTTCCCCCTTTTCCCCTACATTTTCTATAATACTCAGCTACAAAACAATATTTTAAGGTGTGTTCATTTGCAGTATTAATTCTTGTTACAATAAAATTTCAAAGTCAACTGACTACTCCGATCGTACTTTGTATCAAAACGTCTCAACTTGTGTCATATCGCAAAGCATAGCCAGGACAAGAAATAAGCAAATTCCGTTCAATTCAGAGGTTCAGTTAATAGCCATAAAGCCAAGATATTATTATAAATATAAAACTTAAGAAATAATAATCCAATGCCGTGCATTAAATAATAAAAAGTGGAGCAATTTGTTTAATTCCCGACAGTAAGCGTTTCTTATCATCAGTGCCCACCGCGCTAGTCTGCGGTCTCGCTTTCTCCGAATTTGCTCGCATTTCTTCCTCTTTCAATATAAAGTTCACTCCGTGTTGGGGGGGGGGTTATGTCTCAGGCAATTCGCCTGAAGGTGACCGCAGCATGATGGCCGAAACGTTGTCAACTGAGCCAGGCGCGGATCAACGGGGAGGGAAATGAGAGAAATTACCCCACCCCCTAAAATGTTTCAGTAACTAGTAATTTTTACTTTTCACGAGACTATCAAGTAAAAATATTTTCGGATTATCATTAAAACGAATAATATCGGATCGCAGCTTGAGCTTAGTGCAGCCTGCGACATTTTACAAAATATGTAATATGACACATTCGACGAAAACATTTCGAATTTCCCCTCCCATAATTCTCTGTATCCGCCCCTGACTGAACCTAGGACGCAGCGACTCCCGCCAGCTATGAATCTGTCGACTCCAGCCGAGGGTGCGTATTCTTTCGACTGTTGTCACCTTTTATGCGAAAACATTTACTATTCGTTCCTTCGCTTGTTCAAATTTAATATTCAATAGCTACATGGCGCTTTGCATTTTTCTTAAATCTTGCATTTGTCGTTGTACAATGACGACACAATTTGAAAACCGATAACGAGCTACAAAAGATACGTGCGTTTCATACGTGCCACCTGTGGCACGCGTGCCATAGACTGTCGGTCCTTTTCTCAACATTGTCAGTTTTAAAATTTATTTACATGTTCTATACATCATTTCTATCCAAGAATTAGCATATTTACGGGGGGAATGTATTACGTAAGGCTAAAGGGCCCTTAAAAATGTTCAGCACATCTCCCTAGCGCCTCGTTTGTGCAGGCCGATTATGATGTAGAGATGTGACATCGATGTCGATTTAAACATCGATATTTTGAAGCAAATGTTTTTTTAACATCGATGTTTTTACGCTTTCGATATTATCTTGGCAAATTAAATATTCTCATAATCAGCATATACTAAAAGTTAAAATATGAAATAATAACTGATAGTTTATAAATTATGATACATTTAGTATTATTGACGGCATTTTATGCTCACACGTCAGTCACAAAAAATAAAAATTTTAGCGTCCCGTTTCCCTGACAAAAAAAAACGGGACAAGGAGCTCAAAATAAGGAGCAGTCCAGGCTACTACGGGACGTGTGGCCACCTCAGCTCTTCCGTGCGTGTTGGGAGGTAGGGAGCCTCTCTGCACGTGGATATGCCGTGCGCAGTACGAGGACGAGGCCGCGATAAGACGCAGCCGAAGCGACTCCGATTCGTCGCGCGGGCGTCGCGTCGCGTCGCGGACCTCTCGCTCGGGCGTTTTTACGCGCGTGCACCGCCGTGGCGCGTTTTACGGCCTTTTCGCAATTAAAGCGCGGCGTGCGCAAGCATGCACGCGCGCACCTTGCTTTTGCACAACGCCTCGGCCACGTGGCCTCCGAGGACGCACGGCGGAGGCCGGCGACTTGACAGGCGCGAGCTGCGCGGGCATTTATGAAAAGACGGAAGGCTCTTGAAAGTCGTGCAGTGCCTCTGACCGGGAGTCCTAGGGTTCGAGTCGCGACGATGGCAGGATTTTCGATACTCGCTACATGGCTTGGTCGCATTCAGCCGCTGCGTGGAGGAGAATTCTAGCGGCCGGCTGCTCTGATCAGTCGTTTTCCGTGCTTTCTCCGATCAACACGGATGGTTCGGCGGCGGATCTCGCCACCTTACACTCCCTTTGCGACAGATGATTAACTGCTTCCGAAGGATCATTTGAAATTCATCCGACTACACGAAGGAATTGAACAAAAAGAAGGATAAACGTTCGGTGTGATAATTTTAAGATACGAGTAGTATTGTTTAGTGAGCGGATGATATTCGCTATATCCTGCGTAAAACATCTACTACACCTACGGGAGTAATGACTTTACCAGCAGCTGCGTCTGGAACCACAAATCAAACATCCTATAAAGTTTTATAAACGTGTGTATCTGAATATTGCGGTACATGTTTCAAACTATGCATCGGAAATCCTTAAATTTTTTTTGCGCTTATAAAGCAAAAAAAAAAAATAATTTAACTAGAAGATACCCGTCAATATTTGGCTGATTTTATATACTCGCTGATCTTTGCATTCAAAAACACTCACGAATCCTCGCACTCAAATAAACTTGCTTCGCCAACTCTAACTTTACCCTCCCTCTTTGTGGCAGATGATCGTGTTTCGAAGGATCATTTGAAATTCGTTCGACTACGACTACGAATTAATTGAACAAAAATAAGGATAAACGTTCGGTATGATAATTTTAAGATACGAGTAGTATTATTTAGTGAGTGTACTCTTAAATTGGTTAATGACACAACCGATAACAGATCTAAGGTCTGCAGCATTTCATTAAAAATATGTGCGAAATTTTCACGGGTAGAAAGCGTAAACGCGTCCTAATAGAGTCCTCTGAGTGTTTTTAATTTATTTAATAAAGATTACCAAACTTGAAATCTAACATTCAGTAACATTCAACTTCTAACATTCACAGTTAATAATTTTTTTTAAAGTATTGTTATAATAACATAGCTTGTTACCATTTTCTTACATTTTTTGTGCTTTTTGCTCATATGGAAGTTTCCAAATAATGAAAATATTGGGAAGTGCCCTTCTTTTTACGAAGGTGGCTTTTGTATGAGATAAAGTTTTTGACAAGTTTAAGTGCAAAATTACTTGAGAGATATTTCTGAATATAAAAAAGTAGTTTTCGTTTGTTTGAAATTCGAACGCCGCGTCTCCCTTGTGACAAAGTGGGTCTCCGGACGTCTGTGGAGTAGCACTCGAGTGCGGACCGGATTGATGTTCAAGGGCTCTAAGCGTTAACGAACTATGGGGGTCCCTTCATAATATTGAAATACTAAGTATATTACTAAGTCTGTGCTTGGAATGCTTAGTCTGTATATGTATTCTGGCACACAATACACCCCTAATCTGCTTTCTTGGTAGCTGAACTTCGAAAAACGATCACTTACATTTGAAATTTATTGTGGGTAAGCGGGAATCACTATAATTTAGTGAAATCTTGTAAATTTTGCTATTCATATTTTCATTTTATCCCGTGTTATTGATTCTTTCTTTTATTAACTCGTTAGTTAGACTGCCTACCCGTTCATTCTCCGTTCT